CCATGGATCTCAGAGATTTTCGTTCCGATGTCGGTTTGGAACCTGCGGCTGTGTGATTTGACCCAATAGAGCACGTTCATGCTGTCCGTCCAGAACACAAACTCTTGAACAGGAATGCCAAGTGCTTTCTCCACTTCGCGACTCATCCCGACACCGAGCATGGCAGCTTTCAACTCGAGCTTGGGTATCAACAGCTTGCGGATGGGAGTAGGACGAGCTTTAGACATGGCTAGTGTGACCTTCACAGCTCCGTCGGGGTACTGACATCGTATGTGCGTGACAGTGGCGTAAGCACTGTCGGAAGCATCAACAAACGTGTGCGCTTGAAGCTGAGCAACTTAACACCCCCAGTCTGCTCGAAATCTACACCGCCTACATTCACCCGATTATAGAGTACGGCAGTCTCGTGTTATCCAACACCATCCACACACAGAAGGACCAATTAGAATGCATTCAGCGATGAGCAGCCCGTATCTGCTTGCGGATCCCCCTTTTTGTACCAGTTCATCACAGCTCACTTCTTCACCATCTACAACTTCCCAAATTAGTCTCCCGGCAACTCTTAGGACAGGTTACTCTTGCCCACAACATCAAGTACATCCGCGCTCCCCTTCACCTGCAACAGCCTCATCTTGCACGACCAATTGCAGACCAGCCATATGCACTACGACACATTAGAACGTCACACACATACCGACACACCAACTCACCCATCAACCTGTCCCTTCAGAGTTTCAACCAACTACCCCCCCCCCCCCCCCCAACCTGCGTGAAACAAATAGCAAGCATGCATTTAAATTAGGGGTGAAACGAAGTAGTCGAAGGTTCGAAGCACCTTCGTTTTCCTTTGAAACGAACCTTCGTTTTTGAATCGAACGAAGGTCGACACGGGTTTAGTGCATGCATCAATGCAATGATGTTGTGCGATGTGCTGCATGCACTGGCACTGTACATGCTGTACTACAAGTAGGGGCACGGTCCGCGTGCGCACCGGAACTGAAGAAGTGACAAGTGACAAGTCAGTGAAGAACTGGCCCTGTTCCAGTCACCAGCGTGTTCACGTTTTGCTGTGGTGTGTAGATCTACCTTGGTGTACTTGTTGTCCCTGCCCCTTTGGCACGTGTGTGCCCCTTTTGGCACGTGTGTGCGGACCGCGCGCGGACTGCGCCGGTTGCTCAGTCGGTAGAGCATGAGACTCTGAATCTCAGGGTCGTGGGTTCGAGCCCCACGTTGGGCGCCAATTGTCGTCGGGGGGTTTTAATCCTCGGCAATAGCCCTTCCGATTACTCTCGATATCTCATATCACACGGACGCCACACTCAGAGAACAGATTATTTTAGTCTTACTCCAAAGAGAGTCTCAAGAAGAAGGCACCCAAAACAACCAGAATGCGTACGATAAGTATGCAAGCATGCACACAACAGCAAGAACATGTACGATAATCATGCAAGCATGCCCCCCGACGACATACTCATGGATGACTTTTTTGATTGTACTTGTCCAGAATGTTTGGCGCTCTGCGATACTAGTAGGAGAGTGGTTTTGCGATTTCGATCGTGTTTTCGCTCAGTTATGCTGCTTGTACCAGGAATTGTCAGTTGTCATTCGTCAGTTGTCTCGTCGTCTCCTCAGAGCAGGAACTCACTAATACTCTCTCTCTCTCTCTCTCTTAACTAGGAACTTGGCCTTTTGGCATGTGGCGCGGTCAAGCGAGAGGACCATAGTTCGTCATAACCTAGACGTAGTTCGTCCTTGTCAGCTAGACGACACGAGGACCAGGACCAGGATGTGTGTGTGTGTGTCACGGTGTCCATAAATGTGTCTGTGTGTATACGTGTGCGTCTATGGCTTTGGGCCCTAAGTTAGCGAAAAAAGACGCTAACCACAACTCCCTACTCCCAATATGGTGCGCTTGCCATTCAAAGATGCCGTCAGTTGAGCATGGCAGGACCCACCAGCACCACCATCTCACCCCATGCTAGCATCATGCGCCTGTTGGTGAGTTGTGTATCTTGTAAAAATATATATAATATACAGTCGTCCCTCTCTAATATGGCACTTGTTTATCCAGCACCCTTGCAAACCAGCACACTTTCTGGCAAAACGGATTTTTTCAGTTCAATTTCTACGCTTTAATCCGGCACTTGAATTCCGCCTCCAGCAGCGATTTTCTGCAACAAATCACTCAAACTGCCCCAGCCAGAGTTCACAACCCTCATCCATGCCAACTTTCCAAATCCAATTGACATAGTGTCTTCTCACAAACACCTTGGCATTGTGATTGACTCTGCACTCTCTTGGGTACCCCGCATCGAATAATATCTGTAAAAAATCAAGTAAATCCCTAGTAATTCTCTCCCCCCACTGCTCCTATCTCCCACTTTCTTGCAAGCTTCATTTTTATTTAGCCTACCTTCGCCCAATATTTGATTATGCCGATACGTCTTGGGTTGGATTAACCTCTTCCGCTGCTGCAAAGCTTGAAATACACCACAAGAAAATCCTTAAAATTCTCCTCTGTCAACCCCGCATGCTCTCATCATCCGCCGCCAAGCCCACTACCCTTACTCATAGAATTTATCTCAAACGAATTCCCCAAGACTTGGAAAAGTATGACTGGTTCCAGCGAGATAGACCTACTCGAAATCAAGTATCATTGCCTGCTCCTCGTTTATCTTTGTTTCTAAACTCACCTGTGTTTATGGCATATCGACTTTGGCTCTCCCTTTCCTATAGTATTCGACGTGCTGAGACACTTTCCGCTTTCAACAAGGCTCTTCGTAAGTAACGCACCTCTTTTATTTTATTCTATTTTATTTGTTTTATTTATTCCTTTCTCCTTTGTTCATTTCTCGCTTTGATTGTTAAAATTCACACTTGTAAATTTCACTGCTGTTGCTCTTAGTGTTATTTCTCTAACTTAGATTTTCTATAATAGTTCAATTTTTGTTTCAGTGTCCTTTAGTACAACGACGATTCCTGATGAGTGTTGTACGAAAACTTGTTTGAATCCATATTTATTAATTTATTTTTTAATTTGCCTTTTTGCCCTCAGTCCGTGGTTGGTTTCACCCTCAATTTCTTGTATTGGCTATTTTCATTATGTGCCATGAAGTGCAGACAGTAAATAAATAAATAATCTGCCCTTTATAAAATCGCTCACACAACCCCGTTATCACATGGACGCAGTGCACACCTGGCTTCTCTTGCCCATTCTATTAAGCTTGAGTTGTGCCCACCTCATCTCATGTCTTATAATTGGTTCTCTTCTCTAAGAACTAGAAACTCGCTCTTACTCCCTAAGTGTAACTCATCCACTCCTTTGCGCTCCCCTCTCTTTATTGCTTTTTCTGTTTTGCTCACTCTACCCAGAGAAATTAAGGATCTGACCTCACTTCGCCTGTTTAAGATCCGTGCCGCCCCTTATTTACTACGACATAAATAGCTCATTATCCACATGTCCTTTGCGTCTCTGTGTTTTTCACTGTTTTTATTTGACATTATCTTTCTTTACGGAGTTGTTGTTGCTGTTCATTTTGCTACTCTTTCTTTTTCCCTCCCCTAATTTTTATTTATCGCCGTGGTTGGCAATCACCCACTCTCTTAACATTGGCCGGTGCTTCCACCGAGTCTTGAGATGTTGTAATAAATACAAATATATGCTGCACATAATTCGATTTTCTAATCCAGCAGTTGTACACCGCATACCGTCAGAGAGCATTGTAACATACACAACACATGTAACATACACTTGGGAATATCCTATGCCAGTGCATAGGATATTCCCAAGTGTATGTTACAGAGACATGAATTCCAGAAAGTACTTGGATTGACACAGAAAATCACTACGTTTTGACGTACGACACAAACATTGTATGTTAACAGGTGGGCCGGGTTAGAGGGCAGGATTTGATAATCCAGCACCCTTGTTTATCCAGCAGAAAATGCCGTTGCAAAAGGTGCCGGATTAGAGAGGGACGACTGTACACCTTTAAAAATGGACTCGGTTGAAGAGCCAAGGATTAATTTATAGAAAATAAAAAGGACCAAGCAACTACAAGTTACGCTATAATGTCCACTAACACCACCAGTTACTGAACAATCAGCTCATGCGATAACATTGCACGACACTGACCGACGGTAGTGATATTCTACAACTAACTGGCTAACAGCTCTAGCGCAGCTAGGATGCGCACTCCAACAGCCTTCCAACTTGGTTTCTAATTTATAGAAATAACATAAGGAGAGGAAGGTGAGCGCAACCAAGATAAGCACGAGCTGAAAGTCTCAGCTGTGAAGGATGTTGGCGGATGTACATGCATGTCAGTATCGTCAGTCAGTGTCGTGCAACTTTATCGCATGAGCCGATTGTTTAGTAACTGGTGGTGTCAGCGGACATTTTAGCGTAACTTGTAATTCCTGGGTCCTTTTTCTTTTCTTTAAAAGATGAAGAACCTATCGCAAGAGAGGTCTGCAGAAACAAAGACATGCTTACAGTACAGTAACATTATGAAGGCCGCTGAATGTATTTCGATGTAGCTGGGTTAACTGATTTTGGTTCAAGTCTCTGTAAAACAGTGAAACCCAAAGAAAAAACACAAACTCTTGCATATCAATACAGTTGTCACAATGTGAACGGTAGGTACCATTCGACTGTTCAAGAATGCAACAATTTCTTCTCCTCTCGTCTTCCATGCGCTCTCAGCCGACACATGGCTACCCGCAGTAGCCTTTTACACACACACACACACACACACACACACACACACACACACACACACACACAAAATAAAGTGATATAGATAGAAGGCAAAGGGGTGAGACGGTAAAAGTGAGGTGAGACCTCAGTGTAAAGGGGCAAAGCAATACATCACTTTATTTTGTTCTCGTATCGCATTAGTTGATGTGTTTTGAGGACGCCTGAATTTATTCGATACATTGATATTAAAAAAACATAAAATAAGGGAAAATTCAAGAGAATTCAAGTCGGCAGGAAAACCGCGAGCTCCGATGTCGGGAGCAACATACAATTCCTAAACCATTTGGCTGAGAAAATGTTTGCTATGTTCTCCTACAGTGATATGGACAGTGTATATGCATGTACAGCAAACAAGCCTTGATTCTCCTTGTTCTTCTGCATGTACAGCATTTAAGAATAAATATTTTCGAAGTTAAGTGTGCAGAACGAATTGAAGTTGTTTTTCCCAGAACATCAAGACAGTAATGATATGAAGCTACAGACAAATTTCATGAAACTCATCTCTCCATCACAGGTTAAAAATTCAAACGAAGCCTTACATTATATCTGCTGAAAGCGAATTCTTGAAAACACCAACAAACAAGCGACGGACTCCACATTTGGTAGCAGATCTGTACACACATAAACAAGACTTACTGAGTGCCCATACCAACTGTTACATCCACTACTAATTAAAAGTAGGGCTGAGTCGGGTAGTATTTTCTTCGGGTATCGGGTCCGGGTAGTTTTCCACGGGTAGCACGGGTACCCGATCGGGTAATGTTTCCATGGTAAGACCACAATGCACACGGGCCCCTTCCCTTGCGCATTGGGTAGACATGCGTGAATCATTTGTACACGTGCACTGTACATGATGTCATCTGCGACCTCGGGTTTTCGGGTACTATTCGGTACTCGACTACCCGAGGTCCTCACGGGTAGCACGGGTACCCGACTACCCGTGCACACCACTAATTAAAAGACTTATCTGGAACATTATCAGCAAAATGTTCAAAATGTATGCTTGAAAACATGCGGAACTCGATCTGCAAGTCAGCCTTTTGAAAACAAATCCTAACAATTTGTAAAACTAAATGCTTCCATTAGATGAACAAAACCATGTGCACTTCTTTGTTAGTGGGTGGGTGCTTCTGGGTAAGGTCTCACCAGTGAAGATTGAGAATCAGGGAATGGCTAGAATAAATTTGAAAGCACTGTTTTATGGAAAGGCAATGTGGAGATCATAATCGTAAGGCAGTTACTTCCTCCAAGTCATGACAATTGTCGCTTCCCAGAGCGATTTGAAATTTTTTGGCCATTGTAGATAAAATTGCAATGGTCGAAACAGTGCGGTATGGATGAAATATCATTTGTGAGTATCTACAACTTGGAATCGTGTTATATGTTTGATGGTCAGGCACAGAGCGCATGTGGTGGTGGAGGTGAGTTGCTTTATTTTGTCCACTCAAAGCCTCAAAGCAAAGAAATCAGCTGGAAATTGAGGCAGAGCATTGCTGACGGACTGAGCTTGAGTGGTGGTGTCCTGCTTTGCTGCACATGTTGCTGAGGCCGTCTTCACCAGAGTTTTGAGGTAGACCATTCAGTACTCAACAAGACTTTTACAAGACAGGCGATGATCGCAAACTAGCATCCAACGGAAAAGGGCAAGCAGCTCCGCACCTTCTTTCCTTGACAAGCGCTTTGCTGATTTTGCTACCTTCGCAGCATGCGCCACACTTGGCGTTTTTAGGAGGGGGTGCGAACTCCAGAAAAAGGTACATGCTCTGGGGCAAAATTGGTGCGGAAATGAGCAGAGAGAACAAGTAGACATTGCGTAGGGAGGGTCGTACCAAAGTTTGAAAACAGAAAACAGCGATTCAGACTGAGAGAAGCAAGGCACAAAGATTTCGATGTGCGAAACAACAATTGTAATGACGTGGCGGAAGTACTTGAAGCATAAGTATCATTTTATTCATAGCTATCGCACAGTTAAAATGAAGAAGCTCGATCCTGCGCTTAGAGGTATCTCCATGGTTTATTCAAAGCCGCACATCAGTGAATAATGGCAAAAAGAAGGTACAAGAAATTAGCTAGAGAGAAGAGATAAAGTCAAAGAGGAGTCCAGATGGAAAGGGAAAGATAAGGACGTTGAAAGGATCGGTGAAGCAATATGGTTGATTTCCATTGTGTATAGGATAATATTTCAATTGACATCCCTACTGTTCATTTGTGGTCTTTCTGATTTGCCTCTTTTCTTTTCTTTTCTTTTCTTTTCTGCACGGTTCCTTATCCCTGGTGTGTTTTATGCATGCCCCTTTCTTATGTTTTACTGCTCAATTTAGTACTAAAATATGTCTACTTACATCATTGGAACGGGTTCTCTCAAGCTACATGCAAGGAACACAAAACACATAAAGATCAAGACTGATTGGTGCTAAAGGATACGTTAACAACTTCAACAATAATGTGTTAAAATCAAATGTCAAATTATTGTGAACTCCCGGCTTGGGGACTTCTAAATGGAGACGAACAATTTGAATTTTCATACTACAGCAAAACTTGGGTACGGGTTGGTTTACATATCGCCGGTACGCGCCGGGAGTCACCGGGAGTGGCCCTTTTGCAACCTCTCCCGGCGCATTGCGATTATGTGAACCAGTGCAGTCGTAACAAAATCATACGGTAAAATGTCGCAAGGGACCGCCGGCAAAGTTGGATAGTGCCCAACTCTTGTGATCTGCCCCGGCGCCGATCCCGTACAATTTTGACCAAAAAGTGGTTTGTGAACCGTTCGCGCCGGTGATCGCCGGTGCCGGGAGGGATCGGAAGCCAGACTTTGTCAAAATTTTAAACCAATACTTGTCCTAAATTTTCCTAAATTGAAGCTAAATATTAGGTCCGTTCGCCATTCTTGTAGTCTTTTCAAGGTGCCAAATTAAGTCAGCATACCAACCCGTCTTTCTCGGATTGCTCTGCTTTACTGTTGTGCAACTTATGAGACAAATACAATTGAAATAAATGAAAAATACGAAGGATACATAGACAAGTTTGTGTGACTTAATCAATGTTTCCACGCATAATTTAGACACCACCGCTTACTAGACTGCAATAAAAGGTATAGAAGTAGTTTCATGATCTCCAGTAAAAGGTAGCACCGACTGGCCGTCACCGAAAGACCTTGAATTACTGAAGAAACAAAGAATTCAAGCTTCAATTGGCAAACCTGTCGTAGCAATTTTGCAGTTGTTTGGCACTGTTCGTCGTGAAGGTGCGAAATAGATCTCTTGATATTTCTCTCTTTTTCTTGTCACTACGTTTTTGTCACTTATTGGATTTGCATGCTGTTTTCTTGATTCTTCACATCTATTTTTTCGTGTCACTTCTACACATAATTGGAGTGATATATTTCTGAACTTCTTTTCCTTATAGTTGTAGTCTTTTAGCTTATTTCCATCATTCCCTGTAGTATTTTGACAAGAAGGGAACGAAAACGTTCAATACTTTGACACATGTCCTAATTGGCTGGTGGTGACTCTTGCGTAGATGCATGCGTAGATAATACATTTTTTGTAATATTTTCTGCCTCCGTCCTACTTTCAAATTATTATTATTATTATTATTATAAGAAATGGTTTGCTCCCCACACCGGAGCTCGCGCTATTCCGCAACCACTACTTCGTATTATTATTATAGCAACTTGTATTGTGGCAACACTGGCCAACACTCAGATGCACTGCTTCTTCATACAGCTGAACAATTCTTCTTTCTTCCCAACGTTTCGGTCACTCTGACCATCTTCAGGATGAAGCAGACACGGAAGCAAGGCAGACTTTAAAACAAGCTGGCTAGGTGCGTGCGGAATAGAGCGGGGGAAAAAAAAACAAAAAAATCCCAAGCGAAAAATGACACATGCCACATGATCACAATAGGGGTGCTAGTCCTCATATCATGTGGGAAACTAGGGTGGTGATATGTACAATTTGTGGAATACGGCAGGGGGAGAGGGGGGGGGGGAACACTCTCAAGCGAGAAAAAACCCGGCAACAGCCACATGACTACAGTAGTGTGGACAGTGCTAACATAATGCTAAAGTCAAGGGTGGTGATACGTACAATTTGTGGGTGCTAAGGTTTCACATGGATAGCTATCACTCCAATGAAAAAGCTAGGCAACCACAGTTCACAGGAGATCACAACCACTGCTGGTGTTGATATTAGGCTCCATGTCCCGGATCTTGACCGCTTCCCGAATACTTCTCCTTGCCCTGTCTGGCTCTGTCGCAAGCACACAGACGTTGGCGAATCCGGTCTGCCCCAGCGACAATGGCTCATCGGCATGGAAGATCCGGTAATGCTCACCCATCGCCTTTCCTCGGACCTCGTGGTTGGGATCTCCTGTGAACTGTGGTTGCCTGGCTTTTTCATTGGAGTGATAGCTATCCATGTGAAACCTTAGCACCCACAAATTGTACGTATCACCACCCTTGACTTTAGCATTATGTCAGGACTGTCCACACTACTGTAGTCATGTGGCTGTTGCCGGGTTTTTTCTCGCTTGAGAGTGTCCCCCCCCCCCCCTCTCCCCCTGCCGTATTCCACAAATTGTACATATCATCACCCTAGTTTCTCACATGATGTGAGGACTAGCACTCCTATTGTGATCATGTGGCATGTGTCATTTTTCGCTTGGGAGTTGTTGTTTTTTTTGGTTTTTGTTTAGTTTTTTTCCCGCTGTATTCCGCACGCACCTACAGTCCATTCATAAAAAGATGGGCCCTGGCTCTGGCGAGCTCCCGTATTTGGCGATTTTTCGTGATTTCATCGTACACAGTGCAGTGCTGCGAACTTTGAAATTTGAAAAAGGGTCCAAAAAGGGTACCTGAACTGGGGTTCGAACCGCGCAATGCACTGTTGCAGGCGGGGTCAAACGGCCTGGATTTTGATGGTTTTCCCAATTCAGTGCGTTGAGGGCAAAACCTGGCCGAAATCCTTTTCTTGTTATGGCTTGCTTTTTGGACAAAAAAACTTCAGAAACATTATTGGAAGAGGATTCCACAGGGGATGGCAGAAACAAATTCTAAAAAAACTCAAAGTTTGACCCATTTATGGGCAAAAGCAAGAAGTCCATCTTTTTCTGAATGGACCGTAGCCAGCTTGTTGTCTTAAAGTCTGCCTTGCTTCCGTGTCTGTTTCATCCTGAAGATGGTCAGAGTGACCGAAACAATGGGAAGAAAGAAGAATTGTTCAGCTGTGTGAAGAAGCAGTGCATCTGAGTGTTGGCCAGTGTTGCCACAACACAAGTTGCTGTTTCAAACTTGCAGTGGAATTGGAGTCAGCAGGGTCCACCGGCACTTTCCATGCCCACCAAAGGCAACCAACATTACTACCAGGGTCGTAGGAGAAAAGCTCATAGGGAAACGGAAGCTCCATGCCATGGATGAACTTGTGGCGTTCCTTTCGATCGTTTGGCAGGAAATCATTCAGGTGGATAGCACAGCTATACGGCTCGGACGTACTCAGAGCAGCTTCCACTTCACCATACCGTTGGCATTTCTCTGCTGTTCGGACTCGTGCTGAATGCCGCACCAGACTAGAATTCTCACCAGATTCAGTGGACCTCACAGGCTCCATACTCTCGTGCACACTGTTCATGCGAGCTGTAGCACCATCCAAGTACACGATGTACTTATCCAGCTGTTTGGCAAGCAACCGCAGTTCGTCGCGTACTGTTGTCCAGGATTCTACTTGCACAGCTGGTACACTGGACAGCTCCAACACAGACTGGCTCATCTCCTCAATCATAGTCCTGGGGAGAGGAGGCAAACGTTTATGGCCATGCTTGCCAGGGTTGTTGTAGTCCTTCTTCAGGAGGGGCTCAAACAAAGCAGGAACAGCGCACCCTCTGACCTGGAGACGTTCAACACGATCAGATGTGAGCTCGAAGAGGACAGAACGCAATTTCCGAATGAACGATTTACCAACACTAGTCTCCAAGCCATTCCTGAATCCGAGCTTCGCAACTGCCAACCAATCGATGATGTCGTTCTCCAATAGTCTGTCACCGCGCAGAGTATCATCACTCATGTGTTTTTCTGGTAGTTTCGCGGAAGAAGCAGCTTGGGCACCTAGCATCAGCGCAGAAAACGCATTTGTTCGTCCCCGCTGAGATGGTGCTGGCGAAATTTCAGGGAGAACAATCGTCAAGAAAAACCCAAACCTGGACAGGCGCGCCACTCGTTGTGATGCACTGACCTCAATGGCATCCTTTCCTGACGACGACGCTGACACTTGACAAACAAGATCTTCGTCTGTTACGGCATCAGAGTCTGCAATCTTTTTCCCCAGCTGACGGAAAACATCGCATACTGTCATGGACTCATTGACATCGACGATTGTCCACTTCAGAAGAGAGGCAAGCGGCCGCGGTCCTCGAACGACTCTAAAGGAAAACAGCTCACCTTCTTCCATTCTGCCGACAAACAGGAGTGAGAGCGTCCCCCGACAGTTGCGGAGAGAACATCGAGTCTTCCGGCACAGTTCCGACAAGCGTGGTAGTAGTGCATGCCGAAACTAGATCCTCGCGCTTTTACTTTGTAGTCAGTACACGGCAAGGTCAGTCACGGGTGCACCCATGACTCGCAAGAGTACTCGTACTCCTATATATTTAGGTTTGCGTAGATCTACTCTCGGTACAACGAGTTACGCAAGCGACCTCGCATAGGCCAGGCCAGGCCGGGTGCACATGTGCATGACTGTGCTAGGCCCCAAATGTGCATAGTACAGTGCAGTACAGTTTTTTTTTTCTTCCAGACTCCTGAATCGTATGCGCGCGGGTGACGAGAAACATAGAAATAAAAACGTGTGGCCTAATAATAATAATAATAATCTTCACAACACTCTCCAAACGGTCTTTGGGAAAATGCAATGATTCCAATTGTGAAGGTCCCAGGTTGATCGCAGCAGCCATTTCTGAGGTATACCAGCTTGAAGTTTGCACTAAATTTGGTGACATCATGATGACGGCACTAACTTCCCGGACTAGACTACGCCGGATTTATTACGTCAGAGAGATACATGTATGTAGACTTTGTATGGGAGTAGATGGAGAAATTTCAGTATTTCGGCCCTCCATTGTCCCAAAGAAGTCGGATCGTTTTCAAACTTCGGTACGGGACATATAGTAGTACTGTAAAATCCCGCCAGAGCGCACCGTCTCTCCCATCCGCCCCTCCCTGACTTCTTGTCAGGGACGTGATTGATTGTATCCTTGTATGACTCTGTCGCAGTCTGTGATGCCGTACTGTACTGCAGACGCGTGCTCAACCCCGTTGGAATTGTACGCAACAGTGCCTGCCCTCTTGACCAGGGATCGCACAAACCCTGGGTTTTGTCGGGTCTGTACGACTCCTGGCTCTTGACCTTTGGTCAGTGTACGAGATGCACGAACAGTTTTCATAGGGTGAGTACTTTTTCATGTAGCACTGAATGCGGCAAGTAGGACTCGCCCATCCACCCCTCCCCACCTGAAGCGTCGAGGAGATAGGGGCGCTCTGGCGGGATTTTACAGTAGTAGTAGTAGTATTTATTATTTTACTAGGGGAATCCCCACAGACTGTGAGTATTTTTACAGGGTACCCTAGGTAAGTGCATGAAGTAGAGCTGAATGAAGAAAGCCGTAAGTGCGTGAAATAGAGTAAAGAAAAAGAAAACGGTGGCTGCGTACTATGCCACTATGTGTTGCAAAAGAGGCTGCGAAGAGTACTGTTGAAAATTGCAAAGGAGGCTGCCTGGCGGCATGCTGCTGGAAGCGAATTCCACATATGGCACCATAACGGTATTCCGACTCGAAAAAATTCTGGTATGAAACTCATTATTGCAGAAAAACAAGAAAAAAATTGGTTTTCCCCCATCTACTCCCATACAAAATCTATCTCTCTGACGTCATAAATCCGGCCTAGTCTGGGCAAGTTAAGGACTTCATCATGATGTCACCAAAATGCAAACTTCAAGCTGGTATAACTTGGGAACGGCTACTCCAATCAATCTGGGTCCTTCACCATTGGAATCAGTGCATTTTTCGCTACACGTGGTGAAGTGTTCATTTCAGGGTGAACTTCCCCTTTGAAAGAAAAAGAGATAATCATTCGAATTTTCTACTCAAGTATGGGTTTAGTGGATGGCTACAGTGGATTCTTCTCAATTTTTAAGAAATATGGGAAATCTAGACTGAAATATAAGAACGGGCTGAAGGGGAGGTCATACATTTCAGTCTATTTTTCCCATATGGACCAACTACGAGGTCAACAACATATTTATCATGGTGTTACCCAGTGCTGTAGACAGCAAGCTATTTCAACCATATAGGCCTCATGAGTACAGCTACGAGCTAGCTGAGCTACCGGCCATCATGCAAAGGTGACACCACAGACATTTAAAAAGATAACCCATTGTTCTGCCGCTAGAGTGCTTTAACTACAGAAAGCAGCGAGTGATGCGTAAATGCACAAATCATGGTACTACAACTCCAATAACGTTTTAGTATAGCATTTGCACAATAAGACCAGGCAGACACAGTGGGTTGGTCAAAGACCATAAAAAGATACGAGAGGTGCCTGGTTCAAGTCCTGTCTGGGAGCGTTTTTTTCCAGCCGTGCTGCTACCCACAGTCAACTGGGAACTTGTGGCCAGGTACAAGGGGTACATAGATGTGGCTAATGGGGATTCTCGGCACTTGTGCTAGTGGTTGTGAGAATTATCCACTCACCCCCACCGTTAGGCGCTGCATCTGCCGGTAGGGTTTACCGGGTGTTAGCGGTCATCGTGCGTTGTGCGTTCCCTTCGATAATTTACTTTTTCACTTTTATTTGTATGATAGTTAACAGTTTCCTCTGAGACAAGAATGCGATAATGCTCAGAAAAAAGGACACGCTTCAGGCTCTTTACGAACATCTTGAAAGTTTTTGGTTTCACAAGTATACTTTCAAGCCTTCTCATCAGGTGAAAAACAGGCAAAGGGAAGTTCGAGCATGCTACGAGCATACTACGCACAGCAGAACCGGCGCAACGTACGAAAATCCGTTGAGCAGAAACTCACTCTGTACGGTATAGCACGATTTGTGAACTTTTTCTTCACAATCCGACCGACTCTTGTAGATTCTGAGCCCTTTCATGGCAGACACTTTAAAAACGCACGACACGCATTTGGTCATATAATTTGTTCCTTTCGGGTTTCGGGCTGCTTTGATATTCAGCACCTTCGCAAGTACTGTACTCCCTGCAGAATATGCCGCACCTCCCATTTTTTTCCTCAGCAAGCGTGACATGTGGTGCGATAACAAGAGACAAGGGACATAACTAACAAGAGAACCACATGTCACGCTTGTTGAGTGTTCTTGCACTTGCCCCTCTGTGTCATTATTGCTATGTGTATAGGTCACGCATTCTCGCTGTTAATTTTAATTATATTTTTCTTCTCGCTGTTTTATCACTTCCTTAATGTACTTAATCCACTGTTCTTGTTCCTTTCCCGCCACATATACTCTATGCGCTCGGTTTTCACATGGAGACCAGTCCTTGTGAAGCGCGCTTCAGACGGAAAACGATATGAAAAGATCCGTGTGAAACTTGATCCCGTACCATGACGAGGTTTCTATACATACTTTGGTACGTTTTACCGTGTGGCAGAAACTCACTATTATTGTAATGGTCTACAAAACGATACGTTCGTTCACGGTGTTGAAGGACTTTCTGCCAACAAATCAATTGATTCATCTCATCTATGATTTTGAATGCGGACAATGTGGTAGTCGGTATGTTGGAAGGACTCTTCAATATCTGTCCAAACGTATTTAACAGGAACTGATGACCATGACGCGTACGGCACAGCACGAAAAACTTGAATTCAAATACACCTTGCAACAATCAGGACTCCATATTTGTACTTTGAAGTACTTACAGTATTCCCACATTTGTGGTCAAACTGCATGCAAAAAACAACACACAAGAATACATCATGGTCAAGACTTTCTGGTGACAACGAATATGTTGACAACCTTTCAAGAGCCTAAGGATGGCAATAAACAGAACCAGCTGAAGCGTCATTTCTCGAAGGTTTTATTGAGATGTCACGAACGAATCCTAGAGAAAGTGGTGATGGACAAGGAAACAACTATGATGGAAATATAATGACAAAATATCTCAAAGTTAGCTCCATTTATCCTTGGATGGACAACACAGCTCCGCCAAACCAACCGTGACCACGATTTTTCTTCTTTTTCTCCTTTATTCTTTTTTTCCTTCTTTTCTCTTCTTCCTTTGCTGAGAGCCTTCTGTTCTCATATTTTATTTTCATCTGTGTCCCCATTCCTGGGTTACTTGGACTTCATTCGCTTCCTTGTCATTGGACATGTTCAGTCCGTTCGGTTTGCGAATTCAAATAAACACAACCAACCAACCAACTGTGATAGCACACTGATCCAAATTACCTAGTAATGTTTATCCGTCCAACTTTTGACTGGCTAGTCCCTCGAACAAATCGATCAATTGAACCTGTCCAATGGCGGCCATTACGAAGGACATCTGCAAGGGCCAGCAGCAGCAAGTTAAAATCCTGAAATTTGGGGTAGACAACCACCAGAGTCTGCTACAACATTTCCCCAGCGGCAACAAGTGATTTTGAATAAAGTTATCCACTACAAATCACTATGGTGGTGGTCTACCCCAAATTCCAGGACGTAACCTTATTTGCACCCTTTGCATGGTAGATACAGGGTTATACGCAACCCTGCATTGGGTTCAACTCTCTTGTGGTCACTTTGAACTGTTTGCCAGCATAACCATTAGAGCCAACTCACTTCATGTGAAGTTCTGCCATCACAGCACTGTATAGAGGTTGTGCAGGTAGTTGCAACTGACTTCAATGATCTTTGGAGAAAAGCAGACGCCTTTGAAAGCTGATCGGAGATGATGTTGAGTCCCAAATTCAAATAAAATAGCGATCTTGAAATATAGCACATTAGAGCTTGCGGTAATGTAGGTTAACACATTGCACAAGCCACCACTATACACACGCTCCAGTGGCTTCCAAAGAGCCCGCAGATCCCACGCTATTCATTGATGCGTGTCAAGCCACACGTACATGCACGCCGCGGTTGCATGTAACATGCGTACGCCGGAACTCACCTGAACTCGCCAGCCAACCAGCCATATGCGGCTGCAGCACACATCGGAGTTTGAGCCCGTAGCGTACACCATACTTCGCGCTGGCCACATTGCTACTTCATATTTGCTTTGCTTAGGTCGTGAAAAGAACACCGGTTTGTTCCTTTCTCACCCACCCACCTCTTCCCATCTATGAATAATTATTGATATCCTTGATTCAACACAGGTATAATAATTCATACAAGACGAAATAAATAGGAGTGCTGGGCCAGCTATCTCCTCTCATCTGGCAATTATCACGGCCTCAAGCCATGACACTCATACTCCCACACTCCTGCCTCCTAGCGGGCATTGCACTTCGTGCGTGGGCCATCCACGCTCCGTCCATTTCATGGGTGCCCATCTCATGAGCTGCACTTTGTGCGTGGACATACATACACACTATCATACAGGCCGTCCACACTCCGCCCAGTTCATGGGTGCCCATTTCATGGGCTGCACCTCGTGCATGGACTATCCTACGTGATTATCACATGCCCGATTCGGTTGCCCAGCACTCCATGAATCCTCCATATGATGTGTGCTCTCCACTGGTCTGTAATAGCGAGTGCATGCATGTTAACTCAAAAATCCGAACCAGACGTTTATCGATGGATGTGTGAGTTCAGCGTGTGGCTACAGATAGCTGACTTTTATTCTGTCTTTACTCACACCGTTGCACTATTGTAGACTACAGAAGACTGCAGGTCAATCAACCAACTGTCACTAGATCACTCCAAAAAAAGATACTTCGGGCTTGCAAAGCTCAGGAATGATGCCCATACAACTGATGCATAACCCAGCTCTTCAGAGTTTTAGTCCCATGAGGAGTACTAAAATCGTGCTGCGGCACAGTCAAACCATGCTTTTTTGTCAAATTTATACAAAAGAGAAAGACCAAAGAACTACAAGTTACGCTATACTGTCCACTAACACCACCAGTTACTAGACAATCAGCTCATGCGATAACATTGCATGACACTGACCGACGGTACTGACGTTCTACAACTAACTGGCTAACAGCTCTAGCACATCTTGGATGCGCACTCCAACAGCCTTCCAACTTGGAAGGTTCTAAGTTATAGAAATAACATAAGGAGGGGAAGGTGAGCGCAACCAAGATAAGCGTGTCAAATGTTGGTCATAATTCCTGGAAATATTCTAAACCATGGGAAAAGTCCTAAAACCTGGCCGGACCTAAGTCTGTGCCAGTTGTCCCGAACACTGATTCACAGATCAATTTGCCATGCCCAGAAAACCCTTTCTATGTATTTTGATCTCAAAACTCCTTTTACTTTCAAACACATTTTCGGTCAGAACCTGATAGCTGATTATTTTGAAATGTAGTTGTTGTTGTTTGAAATCTTTTATTCTCACGATGGCCCATGGCCAATAAGAGAAAAAAATTACAGGCTCGGTTTCTAATCTTTATTCTCATGATAGCCAGTGTCCAATAAGAGATAATAGTGTTTATAGAGGAGAAAGAGTGAGTTCTGAACTTGACAATTTTCCACCTTGTCACGAGTGTTGTTATCTCATTATCTTTACGCTATATAAGTTTTAGTCTTTCCAACTTGAGCGATTCCCTTTGACAATCCTTGATGAGAAGGGACCGAAAACGTTGGGTTACTTTATGTGACCACAGGGCCGTTTTTAACCTGACCGGTTTCTGTGACATGAGTCACTTCATCAGAGGAATGAGGATAAATGACAATTATGGAACTCAATATAACCAGCGACTATGTTTCGCGTCACCTTGTTCGATGAAATCAATGAGGGAGGGCGAAAAAACTAAAAAAGCCATCAAAAAGCCCCAGTGTATGTGCATTGCATTTGTGTACAGTGTAGAGCTGGCACTGTTCATGCACATTGAACAATTCACACATGCATGAATACATGAGTGTATCCCCTCTGCCATGCTATTATTGCTAGCATGCTTGTGGTCCACACACAGGCGGCATGATGATTGTGTGACTTGCGGCCCAGCTTATTACACACACATGTACATGTACATGTATGTGAGCTGAGTACAACCATGCGATAAATAGAACAAATAATGCCAACATAATAGTTACCGTATAGCAATCATGTTCGGGTTTTTTCTTTTAGATTACATTTTCCTTATCTGGTTTTCTGGGTTTGCATTAAATTTGTATTGCATTTTCCAAAAAAATTATGTTCCGGTTTTTTTTTGAACGGCTGTGAAATACATGCGCGCGGGGGATGCGAAACATAGATAAAAAACGGGGTGGCCTTAAGAAAAAATAAAATAAATAAAATAAAGAATTACAAGTGCTTTATTTGACTGAATGTGTGTATGCGCATGATATGCGTGGATACTGTGCTGTTTTACTGAGGTATTCGGTTTTGCATGATTCTTGTTCCCATAGCTTCCCCTTTTATTGATCTTTGCATCTTTGAGCCACACAAGTTGTGTGGAATGTTGCTTTGCATCCTCGAACCGTGGTTTGACCGTGTCCAGTATCTTGCCAGTATCGTCATCGACATGCGTGAACATCCGCCAACGCCCTTCACACCGTCAGGCGAAATTACGCCACACTCAGAGAACAGATTATTTTAGTCTTACTCCAAGGAGAGTCTCAAGAAGAAGGCACCCAAAACAACCAGAATGCGCACGATAAGCATGCACGCATGCGCAACCTGCGCAGTCCACACGCACGTGCCAAAAGGGGCACATACCCTCCAAAAGGGCAGGGACAACATAAGCATGGATATCGAAAGGGATGCGTAATGATAATTATTGCATGTTGGTATTGTGATAGATGGTGTGATTATTTTACTCCAGCAGTAAACAAACCAATGCAACTGAAAGAAAAAGAAAAATGCCTGTGTTGGGATTCGAACCCACTCACCTTGATTTGGGAAAGAAACAAAAGGTCGCTGAAAGTTGGTTTTGAACTCACAACCTTTGGTTTTTGGGCGGAATGGCGATAACTGAGTTCGAATCCCATTCTGGGCAACTTTATCTTCTTCTGTCAATTACAATGAATCTTGATTTTAGATTGCTCAGTAGGCATAACAAAGTGAAGAAAATGCTTTCTGACTTGTGTTTTCCTTTTTTCACCAATCTCCTTGGTCACTTTGCAGGCCTAAAATATGGAATACCGTATTATCTCTAATATAAGCACGGTCCGTTATTTTTTCAATGTACCTCCGCACCGTGCTATTAATGGAGACGTTCCTTTATTGGAGGCTGTTCCATTATTATTTCAACCTCATTTCAGAGGCATGTTGCCATGCCAAATTCATGTCAGACACACACATTTCAGGGTTTTTTCGCCGGTACTGCATTTTAGAGATAATACGGTACATGCATTTCACCAGGTACCGATAGACAGTGTGCTTATATTGGAGACTGAGCACTTTATTTTTTGAATGCCGCCCCAAGGTGTTCTATTATTGGAGACGTGCTATTATTGGAGACTGTGTTTATAATTATTAGAGATAATACGGTAATAATAATATGAGCCGCAATCAGCGAAAACGACCCTTAGAGATTTCGTAATTTTTTCGAGAAAAGGTCGATTTGTGACGTTCAACGATTTTTTGATCGCGCTGCAAACAGCGCGACGACTTCTTGAACTCCTTGCTTGAAGTAATATATTTTGAAGTTGAAGTGGTGTCGAGTGGCGACCCAGTGTTCCTTGATCTTGTTGCGATGGCTGCGGACGCCAGAGCTGTTCGCAGAGCACTCACGGCAGTCATTGTCTACAGCTAGCTCGAGCCTGGTGGGGAGTGAATGCTGAAGTAGCCGCTGAAGTTCAAAATGAGGATGAAACGTTCTTTGGTTCCGACATCGATGTCGACAGCGAGGCGGAATCGCAGCCGTCATCTCCTGCTGCGATGCGGCTCAAGGTGGCCGATGACTCGTCAGAGTCGGAAGATGAGGAGTCCTCACCTGAGATAAATTCTGAGTCTGGGGCTAGTGACGGTAGCGACGTCGTGTCTTCAGCTGCGGAGGAAGAAATGGAAGACGAGATTGCGGAACGACTCCACGCAGGATGCAGCTGCGAATATGTCGATCATTTCTCCGCACTCATCAGCTATTCTTTGTCATTATAGCTGCTTACTTCACTATTTCAAAAGTATTCAAGCTGCCCGCCCACCTTCGAATGCTGAATACTAGTATTCATTGTACACATACATCGTATACATACATTGCACCAATTTGGAGTACATATAGTATATTGGTGTATACACCCGTTTAGAATCGGATTATTGAACTTTTTCTTGGCTGAGGGCCTTCAGTAGATGTGGTTTAACAAATTTCTAACCAAAAAGGAATTTTGAAAATGTTGACCCTAAGGGCTGGTTTCGCTGGTTGAGGCCCATATATGAAATTTTGAACGCGTCGCGTCGCGAGAAAGTTGATCTGAAGTATGAATCGGCCTTTATACAATTATATCGTCCAGTAACAATCGACATTCTTTGTTCCGTTGGGACTGTAGCTTTTGCTCGTTTTCGTTGCGCTTGCCTTCCCCTCTTTGGTCTTTTCCATAACCTTGAACCTTCCAAGTTGGAAGGCTGTCGGTTAGCGCTACGGAGATGTGTTGAAGCTAGGTGTCAGGACGTCGAATGTTTTAGTACTCTGTCAGTTTTGTGCCTAGTTATTGCACTTTCTGACTGTATATAGTATCATGTTACAGTGATGGAGAGTTACTCTTAACTCGTATCCATATGTCCTTTTCTCTTCCACCTTTATACAATTATGATTAATTTTCAAATCCCTTAGATTTTTGTGCTGTGCATACCGAAAAAAGATATCCTCGCACCCAACTTCAAAATTTCAACTTAACTGTCCAAAGCTACCACAATATCAACAAGTTTAGAATTACAGGTGAAATCCTGATAATTCGAACCTCAAAATGCCAGGAAAAAAACTTCTAATTATCCGGATATTCTAATTATCCAAACATGAACCCACAACACAACATGTTTGTCAAAATGCTCTCATGGTCACGCAGAGTTGCGCTATGGACCTTAGACACTGATTTCACGGATACTGAACTGACCGGCACAGCCTGCTCGTGCATACTGTATTGTATTATTGTATTGTATTTATTTAAAAGGATTCTCCAAAAGCAAATGGATGCTTATCACGGAAGTCTCCCACATAAATATCGCAAGAAAAATGGGGAAATGGGGGAGAGGAGAGTGGAAGATGAAGCATGGGAAGAAGGGAAACAAGTACCTAAATATCGAGGTATAAAAGCAGGAAAGAAATCGACGAGGGAAGAAATCACCTCTGCAGATAATAGCGGGACATTTAGATGAAAAAAACCCAGCAAGGATTAATTTCAAGGAAAAAAAATTTCTCAAACGGAAAAGTTCGGAATTCCAGTCAGAGAATATCTATGCTGAGAGTAATGAGCCTTTAGAGCAATGCGAAAATTGACAGAGGACTGAACGCAGTGGATGTGTTCTGGAAGTTTGTTCCATTCCACAGATAAACTGAAGAGAGTGGATTTAAGGAAATGGGCGCCAGAACGAGGTAAAACTATAGAGGACGGGTGACGACAACTAAGGGATACATTGAATTTGAAACGAATTAGCAAAGACGGAAACTGGTAAAAGACATGATGAAAATACAGCAAGGACAGAATCTGACGACGCCACTTCAGGGATGACCAGTCACAAGTACGATTAAGAATCTGCTTCGGGGTTTCCCACTCAGGAGGGTGCCGGGTCTTACAATGTAAATATACAAAATTTTGGCGCTCCAAAATTTCGGCACTTCACGATTTTTGACATTTCGGCGGCGATTTATTTTCGGCGTGGGGTAGAGGGCATGGTATAGTGCGACAGATGCTGTGAAAAATTTCATCGGCGTTTTGGGTCGGTGCCGAATATAGCCGAAATTAAATAGCTGCCGAAAATTTGTATATTTACAGTAAATGAACTGACCAGTACAGTGTACAGTGAGCTTCGAATTACACTTTGCTAACTTCGAATTATCAGCACAAATCCCACACATTTTCTATGTAAGTGGAATCTGTGGGACTTCTAATTAACCAGACATGTCCAGTTCGAGGTTCGAATCATCAGAAAATGTATGTGTTAAGCGGTATGTTCGAATTAAGCCATATTCGAATTATCAGGATTCCACCTGTATTGCCTCCGCGCAGATTATTTGAATGTTGCACAGAAGCGTTTATAACTTAGACATGCTACTCACCTATCCGATTCAGTTGTGTTGCAGCTCAAGAGAACTCCATTCCCAAAATAATCCCTGACAATGCAATCTCCGCATCGTCGCAATCCTGCAGGGGTTGCTTCGCAGGACGCATTCCAACACACCAACATCAAGGTTAGTGCCGACACTAAGACCTGCAAGCAAATGAAGAGGCATAATTAAGAATATTACACATCACACAGTACAATTAATTAATCCCCTGTCCACACAGCAGCTCGACGCCACGGGCTGTTGGAACGCAGCCGGCCTCGCTGTAATCACACACTTCACGCACAAACTGTGCTGCACAGTACTGAGCGGGGAGCCCCAATACACAGTCAATAGTTGGAGGCACTGATTGAAAGTAGTTCACTTCATAAAGAGAATTCTAAATATTATACTAGTACCTAAATCCAGTTAGGTAAGGGAAAGCCGCGAGAGATAGAGACAGCAAGTCAAAGCACAAAAAACGAACCATGGGTATTCCGTAAATATCGGAAAAGCCGCAAGAGATAGAGACAGCAAGTCAAAGCACCAAACGAATGATGAGTAAATATCGGGAAAGCCGCGAGAGATAGAGACAATAAGTCAAAGCACAAAACGAATCATGGGTAAATATCGGGAAAGCCGCAAGAGATAGAGACAGTAAGTCAAAGCACCAAACGAATGATGAGTAGGGGGATGGGAACAACTCGAGAGAGATGCAGTACGTACCGGCACGCACGGAGACCTCATGTTGTTCGCTTTGTAAACAATTCCCATTGGCGGGGACAACGTTTCTACTTTCCTCTAGGCGCTCTGGATCAGAACAGTCTCACGTCCAGCAAGCTGAAGAAGAATAATAACTGGTGTAAGCCCGGGCCTTCCGTTATATCTTTCCAACTGCAACGTCAAGGAAAGCTTTCCATTCCCTAGCTGGTCCGTTTGTGATGTCGCTTGTCCCGTGGGAGCCAGAAAGGTGGCTCGCACGCGCTCCTGCGCTCTCTCTTCGGCATTGGTCAGCACAAAATGCGCTCGAGCATCTCGTTTTGTACTCCCCCAGTCAAAGGGTCTTTCAGAACCGCTCCCGGAGCGGTATTTATAAGGTAAGAAGGGTCTTGCGCAAGACCTGGTTCCCTCCAGGTCTTCCTATCTCATATATGGTCACGAGAACTCAACATCCGGCAATCAAGCTCCACACCAATTTTGGAACAATCAATCAAACTGTAGGCCCTTTTGGGTACGCCAGGAGTGAAAGGAAAAGAGGGACCTCTTCAGCGACTGCCTCAACTCCTTTCGGCTTTCGTCCTGAACCTACAAGGAAGGCCATTTTTTGTTTTATTGACTTTTTGTTTTGCGGCCACGGGCAAAATAAACAAAATGAATATTTTTTAACCAGTCTTCGACAAATTTTCTACACAAAGGTGCGTTGGCGAAGGAGGTGTTTGCTCCAAATGTCGGGGCTCGCCCTTATTATTATTATCATTATTATTATTTAAATTTTGAATAGGGCAATCCCCACAGGCCTAAGGCCTTTTTACAGGGTACCCTATGTGATCACGTACAGATTTGCGGAATAGTGAAAGCGAGGAGCAAGAGCGAATGTCAGCTGGAAGAGAATTCCAGCGGTCAGAAGCCAGAAAGCTCAAAGCGAATAAGCCATAACGATTGCGTGCTGTAGGCAGAGCAAGGGAATCTATGGACTGGGAACGTGTACGGGCAGCTGTGTGTGTTGCGGCAGAACGAAGGCAGAAGCAATCAGAGAGCAGAGTGCTACACATGCCACGTAGGGCCCGAAAGACAAGAATATACAATTTAAGCTGATAGCGCAGTGCAATAGGAGCAAGGCCATATCTGGTGTGTAAGACTGAAACATCATAGTGCCAAGGGAAACCAAAAACAATCCTAACAGCGCGGTTAGCAATACGAGTTAGTCTATCATGTTGTGTGGTGTGAAGGCAGTGTACAAACGCATTAGAACCATACTCAAGGTGTGTTTGAATAAATGAGCAGTAAAAGGTCTTTCTCGCAGCTGGTGTCAGGTTGTCCCTGATCTTGCGGAACATGGCAAGTTTTGTTCCGACCTTTTTCTCAACTTCAGTGACATATGAGGAGAAGGATAGATGTTCGTCAATGGTGAGGCCAAGATACTTCACCGTTGGTGTTGGGGATACGAGGACATCGCCGAGCCGAAGGCAGATGTTAGGAGGAACACATTTTGTTTTTTGTCTTATGATGATAAATTGAGTCTTGGAGTCATTAAGTTTGAGACCTCGGTTACGTAGGTACTCTCTGATGACAGATATGTCAGCAGAGAGATCATCAGTGAGTTGCTGCAAGTTCGTACCTGCCTTATACATAGACACGTCGTCTGCAAACTGCCGAACCTTGCTCGTGATGGTACATGATGGCAGAGCTCGGACGGATAGGTTAAAGAGGGCAGGACCCAATGTTGACCCTTGAGGTACACCTCTTGTAGGTGTGTACTGTTCACCTTCCTGATGCTTCGTGACTACTCGTTGGCGACGGTCACATAGGAAACTAGCTATCCATTGCAGTGCAGTACCACCGACACCAATAGAGAAGAGTTCTTGAAGAAGGGAGGCGTGATTGACTGTGTCAAATGCTTTGCTGAGATCGAGAAAAGCAGCGACAACAAATTGACCCTTGTCTAGACATGCTTGCCTGTCGTTTGTTGTCATGGCTAAAAGATCTTCGCAGGAATGCTGCTTGCGGTAGGCGAACTGTTCATTCGGCAACGCGCTCGGAAATGATTCACCTTGTATGTGCGACATGATCTGCTCATACGCGCACCTCTCCAGCAGCTTGGAAGCGATGGGAAGGAGGGAAATAGGTCGATAATTACTGGGATAAGATGGACTCCCGCGCTTGTGAATTGGACGAACGTTGGCAATCTTGTATAAAGAGGGAAAAATACCTGATCTGAAAGAGATGGTGAAGAGCTGGGCAAGAGAGGGAGCGATTTGTTTCTGGAGGAGTTTGTAGATGGACGGAGGTATTTTATCTGGACCACTTGCTTTGTGGCTGTCAAGGCGTTTCAAATGGGACACTTTGGTTGCTGCTGACACCGGTTCAAACTCAGTGAGGGACGGCTCTGGCATTGGTCCGATCGGTAGTTCGATACCTGTGCCTGATAATGAGGGTGCACTCGAAGCGCGCTGTGGAGCGGTGAGTGAGACGTTGAGGTGTCCAAAGGTCACGGCGCTAGCTGCACCTGCATGTGTTGCTGGGGCAGGAGCTCCCATAGGTGAGACTATCCTGGCGAACGTTGCTGAAATGTCTTTGACTGAGGCATGGGGCTCGTGGTACACAGTTGTTCTCCCAAGCAAGGAGTTGATGGTTTTCCACTGTAGCCTTGGATTGCGATTGTTTCGAGTCAGTTCATTTTGGAAATACGCAGCATTCTTTCTTCGCATTAGGAGTTTACTTTCGCGCCTTAGAGCACGGAAAGCCTGAGTGAGACGTTGATCATCCGGTCTCTGTATCATTTTCCTATGCGCTCTTTTCCGGCGATAGAGCAATTGCCTTAATTCACCGTCCACCCAAGGAGAAGGTTTGTATCGTGGCGACGTGGTGATGGTCGTGGTCGGACAATGCTTGTCAAGGGTGTCAGCTATTGAGGTTTGGAATAGGGAAATGTGCTCGTTTAGAGTAATCTCAGATGGCAAAGTGTTGTTATTATGGAGAGCAGTCAAACGGGAGCTAATGTCGTCTTGGAATTGTTGAATGTTTATCGCTCGAAGTGGAGGCTCACGAATAGTAATTCGTTCTTCTTTGAAAGTTTGTAGCATGGTAGATAGCTCGAGAATGACAAGTTGGTGGTCAGATACGTCGCATGGTTGAACGGAGCATGTGATGGAATTGACATTGTTTCCACGCGGCTGTGAGTTTGGCAACTGAGCAAGCAGGTTAGGTACTAATGCGAAATCAATGGTGGAGTTGCTCGGCAGCCTCGTGGGGGCGAGTACCACATTTCGTAAACTGTTATCGCTGCAGAAAGTTTGGAGGTGGGTGTAGTGTGGGTGATTTTGGTTCTGAACATTGACATTGAAATCACCGATGACTATCGTGTGCGATTTCGCTGCTGTGGATCCTGATATGTTGTCCACGCTGGATGTAGACTTTCTCACCGCGGTAAGTAGCTTTCGTTTTATGTTGCATGAGCTGAGACTTGGCTTGAGGCGTCAGGACAACATGTACGTGCAATTCTGTATGTGGGACTGCCCTATTCAAAATTTAATAATAATAATAATAATAATTTAATAACGAAGGTACGTGTTGGGTCGTAAGTATCCACGCAAACACACATCCAGTCAAAATAAGGCACTTGTCAAAGTATCCGAACGTTTTCGGTCCCTTCTCATCAAGGATTATACAGGGAATGGCTCAAGTTGGAAAGACTAAAACTTATAGCGTAGAGATATGTGATAACATCACTCGTGACAAGGTGGAAAATTATCAAGTTCAGCACGACACAAAACTCGAAGGAAATAATAATAGTGACAAGAACATAGTGAGCAAATTAAGTTACATTGTTAACACCTCGACGAGGAGTAACACCAAACAATTGTAGCGACAATACATTTTCTTTCTGTACGCAAAGTTCAGGATCTAACTTACGGATATACAAAGCTTCTAACACAGCCAGATGCAACGCACATCTACCACGTGACAATATTGAGAACACATTATCACTGTACAACTCACGACAATTGGTACCGGCTGACAGATGTTGCTTGATGGACGAAGTGCGATTCTTAGCTCCGTTGGGTGTTGTCTCCTCCCATGTCCCGTCATCTCGCCTCTTCGCGGCATCACCACTATCCGTCTCTTTGCTTTTCCGCGGCCTTCCACGTTTTCTGACACTAGCCGTTGTGTGCGCGATGCCCAGTGTCCTTTCAGCTACGTCTCCTCCATTGCGGATTTCTATTGATCTTCTTACTCCAACTTGTCCGGTGTTCGATATTGAGGTTCGTTTTCGCGGTCTACCACGTTTTCGAATATTGACTGTTGTTGTCACTTCCGTTGTCGTTGTACGTCTGTGGGACTTTTCTACTAACTCTGAATAGCCTCCATCCCGTGTTGAGATTCACGTCGGAAGCGGAACAAAACGGCAGATTATCCTTCTTGGATGTACAAATATCACGCAACATTAACACTAAGTGTTTGGACACCACTATCTATAGGAAGCCAACTTTCACCGGCCTCTACATTCCGTGGGGGAGGTATACTCCAACGAAATCGAAGAAACATCTTGTGAAAGCGCTAGTTTAGCGTGCGCATAGAATATGTTCCCCTCACCTATTGCAGGACGAATTAGACAGACTGACATCAATATTTACGAACAACGGCTATCCAAAGGAATTTCTGGCCAAGCTAATCAACGAAAAACCGGCGACAGACAAGCCGATCCAATTTGGACCTGAGCTTTGCCCAGTGGTGCTCCGTTTACCCTGGGTTGGCGCCGGTTCTGCGCGCGTGGAGAAGGATGTTCGTGGTATCGTATGTCTATCTTATCCGTGCGTCAAGCTGTACGTCATATTTGGGACAGTGCGTGCGTTCAGTGTGAAGAAGGATGTTCTACCTACCCTTAGTAAAAGTAACCTTATCTATTTCTTTCAATGCCGACAATGTGAAGATCGGTATGTAGATAGAACCCTTCAGCACCTGGGCGCGCGCATTCGTCAACATGTGTCATCGCTTCCATAATATTGGGCAGAACTGCCCGTTTGCCTTGCGATGTAAAATAAATAAACAACAAAAAAAAAAATGTGCCGTTAAGTTTTGTTCCGCTTGATGCGCGTGAGTGTCGTCCTCGCCGTGGTCGTCCTCCAAAATGTGATGTCCAGTCCATCGGTGGATCTTCCTCTACCTGTGAAGATGTCACTGCATGCCCGTCCTCCTCCGCGTGTGTAGGGCAGGGTCCAGCTGAGAACAGCGTTAAAGATGGTGAAAGACCGACACGTAAACCACCGAAATTTACAAAGGATCTGTCTGCGTCGGGAAGGGTTACGCGAAGCCAAGTAAAAAT